TCTTCTATCTTCGATGCACATAACTGAAATAGGTCTGGTGTTTATTTTCGAGGGAACCGCTGTATTGTCTCTTGAAATAAAAATCTCGTGGACTGGATACACGTAAGCATGAGTCAACTTTCGCTTTATCGAAGAGCCCGGCAGGAGTCTTTACACTGGTGAACATTGCAACCTATGAAAACATTAACCACTGCAAATAACGATTCGGGAGGAGTTCCTTAAAATAAAATATTGGTATAATTCTGTCTTGTTTTGTTCAACGGATTGATTTTAGGGTCATTTTGTGTTTGCCTATAAATGAAACTATCTAATGTGCAATTCCATTCTGACACCAGTTACCCACTAAGGAACGCGTCTCCAAATGTCCGGCAGGATTGTTATTGGTGCTGCTTGCGCGGTTTTGCAAAATTGGAAAATGCTTGGTTCTATCATTCCGCTGAGGGACATTACTATAAAGCTATCTTATTCAAAAATATAGTTAAGCATTTTAGCGACACATTTTGCTCTATTTGCGGTACTTAATAAAGCATTCTTTCTTCCGCTCATTTTCGTGAAAAAATATATTTTCCAAATGACATGATCTATCACGTCCTGAACCGCTGACAGCCTTTTCGCGCATGCAAATCCACCAAGAAGATAACTACATCTGACTTGAAGGCAAGCCATTAATAATGTATGGCTCAATACGCAATGAAATGATGAACAAAAACGCAAATGCTTTTAGCTTATAGCAAAAGGTTAGGTTTTAACAGTTGATCTGGTTATTGAAAAATTGAAAACTCCTTTATAGACTACGGTGATTATTTGAGTGCAGAAATTTCCTATAAGGTTACTGCTTACGTTTTAGCTGAAAATATTAAGTTGTTCATTTTGTAACAAGCATGCATTTGAGCGCGAAATAATTTGGCCGATTTTTGTGATTTTAATGTCAGGCTATCTCGTTTTGATGGAAAACATACAGAATGACTCAGAATTCGTGCCACAGTCAGCACGAAATTTGAGTTGGTAGGGATTTTGATCGAATAAGTGGATTTAAGCTTGAAGAACCCATTTAGTAGGGAAAATAGCCCTTCTAATTTAGTCTTTTTAGGCTAGCAGGCATTAATTTTGGCTAAATCTGGAGTACCCTGATATCAAAGAAATTACCCATGCTATTTAGTACGCCAGAACCAAAAGTTTTATGAGTATGTATTATGCTATAGGGGAACACAAAAATAACTTATAAGGATTTGAATCACCTCATGCACAGCTGGAAAATTTGGTCCGAAGTTTTTGACACGCAGGTGACGCCAAGTTTTATGAATTGCACTTATTTTCAGAAACAAGGAACAATTTTAGTTTTCAAATCGTTTTTTTTTCTAATATATGATTTTTTGCCCCAAAGTGCAGTAATACATCTGTTTGACGGAATCTGTTTTACTGTATAGAGAAGTATGACAGCTCACCTGATATTTAAACGGGAACGCGCGACATACTTTAACTTTTCCGGATTGGACCGTGCCGTGAACATTTTAAACTATCTCCTATCTGACACTAACTACGTTCGCATAAGATATTTGGCAGCCGAACAGCTGCCACCTGCATCATTATCTAATATGCGTGCTATTAGCCAAGCAAAAGTGTCAACATTTATTAACTATAAAGCAGTTTGTAGAAGTAAGTATCGTAGGTGAAAATGGTCCACAACAAAACAGAATGAAGATTTTATTCACTGAGCAGTAATAATAGCATCATATGTCTGTTAGCGCTGTTCCTAGGTAATATTTGCCAATGTTCGCTTGAGGAATAATTACAGAAAGAATGCACACATGCAGCCTTCGTTAGGAAACCGCTATGATAAATCCACTTCTGAGTAGGAAACTAATAAAGTTGCAGCCTTTCGCAGTGGAAGGGCATTTACTATTGTGATTAAGTGTTATTCTCAGGCATGCCTCCAAAATCGGCACAGGCGGTCATGTGCGGAAAGTACATCCCCAGAGAACACACTGTATCGATACCAACTTTCAAGAACTGTCGACTTCCACTGTTTTGATGGCCATCAATTTCGGAAAGCGACCGATCTGCCGGTCGAAAAAAGATACTATAAGCGGCAAGGTGTATGTCGACATTGTAAAAGATGCCATCAGTTATAACGGCATTCATCGACTTCGGATGGACAGCGCCACGCTGGTCACCGATCAAACGAAGGATGATAACATTTTAAATTACGACTATAATCTAGTTTCTTAGCCGACAGGCAGCCCTTCTCCTGCCACCTGCAAACTCTGTTTCTTCCTCTAAGCACGCAGGACCCATTAAAAATCTATTTAAGTCTGTTATATAAGGCAGTCGATAATTGACGTGTTTTACAGCATTTTCTATGACAGTGTTCGATAAAACAAATTGGTACTTAGAAAAAAATTAGACTTCTTCCAGCAAAATATGCTTCCTTTTAAAGATTTATTTATCCTTTAACGCAGTAAAACGCGCGCATCCGTGCGATAAACGCTTTGCGAACTTCAACGTTTTCCATGCAATGTTGACCACTATACACTGCAAGCATTGCATATATAAACTGCACAGCTGAGAGGCAAATTCGAAATATATACACACAAATAGCGTGTTCTACTAAATAATAGTTTAAATGCGATAGCGTCCATCAAAGAACAATTCACAAAATGTTAATGGAGAACATTAATTTGGGCCTTGGCAAACAGAATTCAGCAACTGCATCATGAAAGGAAAGGAGAAATTTAACTAACTTGTACTTGTTATGGCTGCGATCATGCCTGATCTAGCCGGCCTCAATGATGTGGCGGACGGTACCTCTCCATGCGTGACGGCTGGCGGCAGTGGATCTGGAGAGCTTCACCCCATTTCTTCTCCAGCGACGGAGACCAAAGATAGAAGATCAAAGAACTGCTTTCATTTCTCGACGGACGGTGTCGGGCCATATCTTCAGTTGTCCACCTCTTCGACGCTTCCAGGTGGACTGTGGTGCCGGGTCGAGGGCAACATAGCTAAGCTCGCGGGGCGGACGACGGAGAACGTGCCTAAACCACCTCAGTCACCTTTCTTGAATGGCCTGAGATATCCTCGTTATACGATCGTAGCGGATGCGGACTGTCTCATTTGCGATGAAGTCGCTAAACTTAACTCGCAGGATGGTCCTCAGGCATCAGTGATTAAAGACCGTCAGTCATTGCTCATCTTCAGCGCGTACAGCCCAGCATTCACACCCGTAGAGGACGAATGACCGGATGGATGCACAGAATACACGGGCCTTCATGGCGATGGAGATTTCACGTCGAATCTAAAGAGCTGTCGAAGGACTGAATAAAACCCAGCTAGCAGCATCGATACGAGAGAAAATGCCATCTTTGCTCTACTGCTCGGTAGCAGCCTCGCCCTGAGGTATTTAAAGATGTCTACTACCTCAAGTTTACGGCCATTAATCCCCAGGGGTGACGTCTCCTAGCCATGAATGCAGCTCGAAAATAACTTTGTCTTTCCGAAATTCATGGACATGCAAACCGACATAGTGATCTAATTAAACCGCGACACTACAGTAGACGCCAAAGATCATGCAACATTTCGACATATGTGAAAGTCCGATACTCTTTCGCTAATCGGCATTGACTCTATTTGTGATACTGGTTATCCTGTAGAATATTCTGAAGCCATTTCAGTGAGAATTGGATGCGATCTTTTTAACAAGCACCGTTCCGACCACCAGTAAAACGTATCTATTGTTAAAACAGGCTACATAAGTAGTATGCCTTTTTATCCTTGATTTTGACTGCCTTTATAAATTCAAATACATTTTATGAAAAACAAGCACGAAAAAATTATTTCTTGTACTTGTTTGGTAGCAAATTACGCCTTCTTTAAACTTTATACTCAAATAAAGGGTAGCTTTTGGTTTTAAAAAAGTTACTCAATCGCCGAATAATTTTCTAAACTACTGACTGCTACACTTGAATTCAAGGTTTAAAAACTGCGCACTGTGTACATCCTGTTTTAGGAAATGTACATTTTCGCCAACAGTTTGAGGAAGAAAATACACAGTAGTCATCAAATATTCAAATAGATTTGGAATATATTTTATGCAGTATAGGCAGCACTAATAAATTGACTATACGATGTATGATGAATGAAGACCCCACGATCGTAAAAAAGCTCATAATTAGCAACTTTTTGTAAAACCGATAGCTACCCTTTGTCTGAGTATAAAATTTAAAGAAAGCGTAATTTTCTATCAAACATGTGCAAGAAATAATTTTTTCATGCATGTTTTCCATAAAATATATTTGAATTTATAAAGGCAGTCACCGTGCATGTTTTCTATAAAATATATTTGAATTTATAAAGGCAGTCAAAATCATGTGCATGTTTTCCATAAAATATATTTGAATTTATAAAGGCAGTCAAAATCAAGGATAAAAAGGCATACTACTTATGTAGCCAGTTGTTACAATAAATACGTATTGCTCGTGGTCAGAACAAAGCTCGTTAAAAAGCCTGCATCCCATCCTGACTGAAATGACTTCAGAAAAGTCTACAGAGTAATCAGTATCACAACTTGAGTCAATGCCGATCAGCGAAAGAATATCGGACTTTCGCATATGTCGAAATGTTGCACGATCTTTGGCGTCTACTGTACAGACTTTAGACCACCAAAAATTGGTGCCAGCAGCGCAATATCATCGGCGTAGTCTAGATCCGTTAGCCGCCTTCAGGGTGCAAACTCAACACCATCTTCTTAATGTAGGGCTTTTTCGGGAATCCACCCAATGGTGTAGTTAAAAAGAATGGGTGAGAGGACGCAGCCCTGTCGAACACCAGACCGGATATCGGACGATTGAAAGAGATTGTTGTGGACCAGAACTCATGCGGGGGTGGACCCATAGAAGGCCTCAGTCATGGCAATGCGTTTGGTCGGCACCTCATCCAGTCCCATTATTGGTCACAGGGACTCACGATGGATGGAATAGAATGCGGCGGTGAAGTCGACAAAGCAAAGGGCCGTCGGTGTTTAGTAGCTATCACGGAATTCTAGAATGCGCCTCAGTGTGAATATGTGATCCGCACTTCCACGCCCAGCGCGGAATCCGGCTTCGTTGGGCCATGTCTTGGACTCACGTACAGTCTGGAAGCGCCTGAGAAGAAAAATAGCGAAGATCTTTGCAGAAACGTCGATAAGACTTATGCCGCGGTAGTTGGCACATCTTGTTTTATCTCCGTTACTGTGAACAGGTACAAGGATGCCTGAGCCCCAGTCATCGGGAACGGCCTCCTCTCGCAATGCCTGTACAATCACCTCATGAAGCCAAGGAGCCAAGGTTTCTACACAGGACTTTTAGATTTCTGCAGGAATACTGTCCTCTCCGCACGCCTTGTTGTTGCGCAGCCTCTGAATTGCATCGGTCACTTCGTCTTCGGAAGGGAGGTTACACGACACTGCGTAGGCTGGAGAGGATTGAAACTCCGCTGTGATGGAGGGGGAGGGTGTGATGCGTCGTTCATTAAAGTTGAGGTGCTTAAAATGTTTACACCAGCGGTAGAGCCTGGCCGGTTTGTCAGCAATAAGGACTGCAGTCACATCGCGAACAGAATTACAGTGTCGGGGGCTTACCGTTAATTTGGCGGATGATTTGTCACAATTTGGATTGTCACCAACGTTTGAAGCCTGCTCCATAGAAGTTGCCGTTTCGGACCAATAATCACCTAGCCAACTTTGCTGTTAGCTTTCGAAATTGGCGGAAGAAGGCATCGCTGCAGGAGCTGGTTCGAGTCGTCTCGGTTTACACCTGCAGATTTTTCCGCTGATCCTGAGTGATTCTGAGAATTTTCTCAGCTGCCCCGTAGACGGATGTCTTCAGTGATGCCCACTTGCTACTGCCTTCGCTGTCAACCTGGGTCGTAAAATAAGACCGTATTTCCGTGCTTAGGACCTAAGTTGTGCTGGGTTGCCGGAGCTTTGTGACATCAGGGCGTCTCGCACATGGCATTTTGGGCGCAGATAAGAGGTGAGCATTCAGGCACGTACGAACGAGAGCATGGTCAGACCCGTGGGCGTTACCGGTTTCGGCACCTCGAATCGACCTGCTATCGTGGACCTAGTTGCGAAACCGTGAAGCAACTAGAATATAATCGATCTGACTGGTGGTACGGCCATCGTTCGAATACCAGGTACGTAGATGTTTGTGACGATGCAGAAAGCGTGTGTGGGTAACAAACAGTCGGTTCTGTTCAGCAAACTGCAGCATCCTTTCACCATTGTTGGTTCCGGAGCGAAGCCCGAAACGACCAAGAAGGTGGCTTTTTGACGGGTCACCAGCCTCAGTCTGGTCATTCAAGTCCTCGGCAACCATTAACGGATAACGGCGAGGAAGTCTTTCAACTGTCTCCTGTAGCTGCAAGTAGAAACTCTCTTTGTCTTTTTGTTCGGCCGCTGATGTTGGTGCATACACAGCGACGACAGAAATGTTCGTAAAAAGGCCCTTTTAGTCGAACGCAAGCCATCCGGTCGTTGGCTGATTCCCATGCCAGTAGTGCATGGTTTGCTTGTTCCGAGGGGGCAATAGCCGGCCGTGTCTTCGCGATGAGTCACATGAGCCACTGTGATACAGGGTGAGATGAGAGTCGACTCCTGGGATCTTTATTTCTCGGGCATCTTAGTCGCAGATTCGGACTTCGGACAGGCAAAAAACATCCACCTGATGTTCATGGAGACTGCACGCCGTCAATTTTTGACTACCAGGTTTCACTAGCGTTCGCGCTTCACAGCATTCTATGCCAGGAGTCCGTTTTCGTTTGAGTTATCCAGCTTGCATACCATTCGCCCGCACCAATAGACAAGGGTTTCGGAGCGCGTCGGTTACTGCGGACGCCATAGAAGCGCCGTAGAAGCGTAATTAAACATGTCATTATATTTCTTGGGGATGTTGAATACAGTCGGGCCCCCAACAGCTGATCGGATTCTTGTTCAACGTTGTTTCCTCTAGCGCTTTGGCTCAATAACCTAACCACAAATCAGGAGTGGCAAGCAGAACTATTTAATGGCAGTCACAATGTCGTCACTGTGGCTTGCGGCGTTTTATAAGACAGTCGATGCGACAGACCTCAGCCCATCGCGTCCTGGAAACACTGTCGCTGCTGTATCCGCGACTGCCTATTCGCATGACCAGGGAGCCTGTTTATTTCCCAGCTAACCTTCACTGAAGGCCGTGCCATTATCCGCCGCATGTGGACGTGCCAGGCAGCCGGCACTAAGGCTAACGGGTAACCCTGCTTTCCTGGGTAACCCTCCTTCCCAGGGAGAAAGTTAACCTCCCGAATGGTTGCTTGAAACTTTTGTTATATGAGAATGAGCAAATTGACAGTTCCGTTAATATAAAAGACGTTTTTTTCGTCGGTTAAAGGTGTCGCATGAGCCTTGAAGCAAAACTTTTTTAATTCACAAATTACAGCGGAAAAAGCTTGTTTTGGAAATGCGTTTGTTCAACTTAAAACAGGTGTTTACGCGCTAGTGGAAACATGCACTCGAATTTCAAACAGTAGAGCCCAACTAAATGCTCTATTTGCATATACTTTGCGATGGAAAAAATTTTCAGATAATCGACGCTAGGCTAAATTGACGGTAATTATATTTATAAAGTTTGTATTTGCGTAAATAATTATATACCACATAACTTTAAGAAATGACACCAGTCAGTCATTTAACAGATCCATTTTACCAATCAGAATAATATATTGTTTCAAATAAAATAAAATTTAATATATACATCCCACGTAAATGCCTAACTTTAAGACTGCATATACGTGTTGGCAATATTGTCATGATAATTTATTCTAATTTCATTACACACGATCGCCAACATACGACCGCAACCAAATTCACTGAAATGGTGTCATTTTATACAATTACTTCCTATTTCTTCACTCACTGGTGTAGTACTTCTCATCTAGTCCAAGATAAGAGCCAAAGACAACTTCACTGACGTATTATTTGAGAATTTTGTGTCTACAGAAATAAAGCATATTATCTTGCGTGACATCAGTTAACATCTTTGGAATATATACATTTAAGCTTTTAAAGCATGATTTCAAGGTTTATATGAGATGTAAAATTTTGTAACTTAGTATATAGATATTATGATGTATATTAATATGTATAGGTCTACGTATTAATAAGTCTATCTTTATGGTTTTATAATCACGAACCATCATCTCAGATAATGAGGGAAGTTCCATCTACCAAAATGCGGGTGCAGAACCGTATGTTAATTTTAGTGTTTGCGTGTAAAAGTTATTATCTATTGATTCACAGCCAAATAAAGAAAACCATATCTCCTTTTTGAAGAGCCTGGTAACGATTTTACGTAAGCAGCTTTGTCGGATCGAATTTTTAATTACAGAAATCAGACTGCCTGTCTTCTGTGGAATATCTGCTGAGGAAGATTGGATCTGCTTTTGATGAAAAAGTTTAAAAAATATCTAAACCCTTTGTTATAGCATATTATCCCAGGTATATATTTATTAACCAGACCACTCACGACGGTTTCTTTCGATCGGATGGAAACGTAAAAGGTTATAATTGACTGGCTCCCAGTTCACGTAGGAAAATATAACTTATGCAATATACCAGAGGTCTCTGAGTGAAATGAAGATATATACCACAGTGTGAGCAATAAACCATACATTTCGAAGAAAGGCGTCCTTTGGGAAAATGAGGGTATTTATTCAGTAAATTTTCGACACTGGATCCCAAGGTCATTATCAGACTTGAGAAAAATGTGCAAAGAACAATTAACTGTTCAAAGTGCTGATACAGTTATATAGTCGTCTAGTGTGGGCACTAATTGGTAGTTGCAATGTGCGTCACATCGTGGTGGACATTATTAGCAGTCGCAAAAGCGTAATGCACCATTTGCAACTGTAATTTGAGTCGGACCGGAGTCAGTCCAGATAATCCGATGTGAGCGCTAATTGCGGTTCATTTTGGTCCATAGTTCTTGGCTGTAGACTAATCCACCTTTCTTTGAGGTGTTTTTACACTCCAGCCAACTCGATACGCCGGTTGATGCATGAATCATTGGAGTGCATAACCTCAAGAAATTCTCGACCATTTTTGGAGGGGCCAACTCCGACGATGAGTATTTTGTCCCACGCAAAGTTATGTCCCGTGTCAAGGCAATGCATAGCCACTTCGGACAAATGATCGCGTCTCTTCACTGCCAATTGGTGATCGTGGATGCGTGTGGAGACGGATCTTCCTGTTTGGCCACAATATACCGTGTCTTAAGCTTCGCATGGGAATTTGTGGATAGCTTTTTTTCTTATCGAGATAGCCAACTTTATCCTTATGGTGCACAGGCTGGGTACGTAAAGTAGCCAAGGGGTTGTGCGCCACTTTTATTTGCTGTTTCCGCAAGTATATTTCAGCGAGTTCAGACGCGTTCTTTATATAAGGAAGAATTCGTCATGTGCTTGTTTTGGCGTCTGAGTGGAATAATCTGGTTCCTTTTTTTGGCTTTTTGTTGTCTCGAGCATCGGCGTACAAAGTCTCTGAATTACTTTCCCGAAGTGGTTATCTCATACAGATAACTAAGCTCGTTTCGGTTGGATTCTTCTTCAGAGCAGTGTGCCTTCGCCCGGCGCAGCATAGTGTTGACGGAACCACTTTTGTGAGAGATGAGATTGTGGCTTTTTTCGTTAAGAATACCTTCCGCGTACGTGCCTTTGCGGTAAACGGACGTTTACAGCACCATCTTAAGCAAGATATCCGTCGCCTTAAAGTGGAAAACAGTATGCGTGCTCCAATGTTGTCGTGGCAAATAATCCCCACGCACCTGCATTCGCGTACTAAATCCATACTTCTCCTTCTCTGGTAATTATAGTGCTTCCCTTCGTTACCGTCCGGTCAACCTACCTTACGAAATAGAATTTATTTCTCTTTTTATGCGAAGGCCGTCCATCGTATAAATTAGCCCAATCATTTGTTGTCCTTGTAAAAACGTACGAACAGGTACCTTTCACTTACATTTCCTCAGTGATTTAACCAAAAGAAATATCGGGAAAGTGGCTCTAAGCGAAGATTAGAGGACTGGTCGCCTGCATGCATAAACACAAATACTCAAATTAAAGGCCGAATTTAAATGACATTCCCTATTTGCAGAAGTTCGCACGAGTAATAAGAAAGAATGTATAAAAAGCAATAAACATTAAGGAATAAAGGACAGCGGGTAGCAAGTCACCTCCACGTTCTTCCAAAAAGCTAAATTAAAAAGGTTGCTGTGGAGATTTTTTTTCCAAGGGGACGAGGAAGTGAAAACTGCTTTTAGTTCAGGAGAAAATTAAAATATCTACATAAAGGTGGTAAGGCATTACTAAAAAGGCAAAGGGACTTGGCTGGCCATTTTCGCGTTTAAGCCGTCATCGGTCAGCCATACTTAAACATGCTGAACATGCGGCTGAAACCCGCGAACTGTTGGCTGGATGTCAAGTAACTCTAGGCACTGTGCCATAATCTTGATGCCTTGCCAGTTTTGGTCAGAATATACATCAGTTTAGATTGGCGTTCGCTTAACAGTTACAGGACTTACTCGTCACACTGAGCATTAGGACCTAAATGACCATTACAGGCCACATTATCTTCGGCGGTAATATAATTCTGGCAATAACGTGCCAACTGTCGTGTTGCTGCTGGTCGAAATAAATATCAAATCAAAAGTCGATATGGGCGACTAAGACCTAGTACCGATCAGAGAGCGCCTATCTATAATTTTATAATTTTTTAAAGCATAGATAAAACTTGCATTACATGGATTGATTTCTCTTTAGTAAAAAGAAAAAAAGTGACAGGCCATTAAAAATTAAAGACTTAATTTATGTAAGCCCCTACCCAATTTTTACTGATATACATTTATATAGTAGTCGCGGGGGCACCTAAACAATAAATATCAGAATAATATTTAAAAGCCATGCAAACTGTGTATTTGCCAAATATGTAAACCAGACGAATATAGAAGCTATCCCGATTTTTCGATAGTGTTTTACTCAAGCTGTGTTATATACTGAGATCACGCAAATACCTGTTTGCATTTGGCAAATACACAATTTGCATGGCTTTTAAATATTACTCTGATGTAAATTGTTTAGGTGTTAAACTACCATTTTTGGCAGTCTATGTGCTTAATCATCCTTCTTGTATTTGAAACATATCGAAAATTATGGTAAGCATGGCCAATTATGGGAATAACATTGAGAAGATAATTACAATGACAAATATTAAATTAACCACAGTTACTCATGATCCGGTCTAATCTGAGAGTCAACGTCTCCACCAAAAACGTGCATTAGCGACATCAGA